CGGGATTTCCAAGCAGTCAGAGGAGTTCGCTGCCTAATTAACATGCATCTTAGCCGCAGACGCTTCTAAACGGCGTCGATCGATAGCGGACTGAGCCAGAAGCTTTGTGGGGCCTGGACCTGTACCGCATTCCCATTTAGGATTGCTGCCCAGGCTTGCCTAAGCGGCTCAGGAAGAACTAGACTGAGGTCTCTCACAACGGCTGAAACGGAGTAATGACACTGGTGCTGGCGCCAATCAGCTTCCCAGCTCTCCTGCACCTGAAAAGTCACTACTGTCGGGGTCCCGTTCTGAGGCTTGAGTGTCGAAAGGCCTTCAGACCAGTCGAAATCTGCAAGCATTGCTTGGAAGGATCGGAATGTCTGGATAGTCCTGATCCGCGACGCTTCAGTAGACTGACATGTCCACTGGCTCAGCCTGGTTTGGGCAATTGCCTTGCGCATGTTTTGAGCTGTGCACGGGTCCCAAGGGTCGCCTGGGTCATCCTCGACGAGCTCCTCGAGCTCGGCCGCGGTGCAATCAAGGATATCAATGATCTCCTGTGGTTAGAGGGGGTGCTGACTCAGGCACGCGTGGATGGCAGCCTGGATATGGCCCGCCGTAGCACGCGCTACATCCGAGAACATGATCTCACACAGTTGCCGGTACGCCGCGCGCTGTTCTGCCCCCCCCACCCCTGCGCTGTAGGTAGAGCTACCGCTTCAACACGGGCTGGGGCAGCAAGTGTATATGAGGAGCTCTCTTGCTGTCTGCGCTTCTTGCTACCAAAGCCTGGCTGCACATTTCGCTGCCAACGGCCGGATGCTTGTAGCGCTGCAACACAATGAGGTGCTGCGCGCAGAGATGCGGCCAGCCTACCTTGCGTCCAGTACTCCGTACTGCACGCGGCACAGAATGTTCCGTGGGCGACGTGTCGATACGCCGCAACCCTGCCATGCACCTTAAACAGGTGTGCCCCCAGGGCCGCTTTCGTGGAAAGTGCCTTGTCACACATACTGCACTTCCATGGCACTGTCCAAACAGTGGGCGCAGAGTGCTGCTGCAGAGTGCGGTAGCAGTGCCATTGGCACAGTTGAGTAGCACTCTCTTGGCCTTGTGCTGCATGTGTCTGCTCGAGTCTTTTCGCAGGACCCTTCTAAAGCGCTGCGGATTGCGCTTGAGTAGATGATACCACTCAGGCCATGCAGCACTTGACACAATGGGCCACTGAGCCGAGACAGGGGCATATATATATATATATCCACACGGAAGCCTAGCTGCAGTGAGGCAGAGCCTGTTCCAATCCATCAACCTTGCCTGAGACACCCTACACCCAAGTCCTGACGGCACAAACTGTTATTGTTGTACAATTATCTTTATTATTATTCTTCTTGAACTGTTATACTATCAATACTGCAACAAGAATTACTTTCAATGTTCATAGTATGATTGTTATTGTTGTTAGCGCTACAGTAAATAGATCCCCAAACCGAACCCTATTGTAATTAATGACTCAGGCCCGTCATTCCAAACCGGAAAACCTAAAACCCCTAACCCGAAGCCCGTAGAGGTG